TAACGATTTTTCATCGAACCATTATAAACTAGAATATTCAACAAAAATTCAAACAACACTTATATTCCATTGGAGCGTAAATAAATTATAACCACAGTAGAAAGGGTCGCTATTGTGTCTTCATGGTGACCAGCATTTATGATGTGAACGCTGAATGCTGTTTATTTCAGCAGGTCAGAGATGTGATCCCTTGCCGAAGCCCCTTAACGGCGAAGTTGTATGTTCTGGTGATTACAATTATGGGGCGAAATGTGAATACTATTGCAAGATTGGATTCGTTGTTACCGGAGGTGCCTATACTAGATACTGCGATAGAGATGGTTCGTGGACTGGAAGAGCAGCAACGTGTTCAGGTATACATACAGCACAGTCAGCTGGCACAAAAGTGATACTAAAATAATTCCTATTAATCTACTGATATTTACTCTATGAGGCTAACCACCTTGAATACTGCTTGAAATAACGAGACAAGTTAAGGTCTTTTTTTTTTTTTCGTTTCTTACAAATCAAGGGAAATTACAAAACTTTCACAGCCAAACGATCCGTTGAGGCAACCGTTAACAAATTCGAGCACATTGTACGTTTATGATCATTACACAAAGATCCCAGAACACTTTTCTTTTCTTTTTTAAACCGAAATATTTATCTAACTATATGGACGTCGCTGATTGGTTCCTGAGTTGATGATTATTTTGTGTTGGTATTGGGGAATTACTCAGTTAATACGTAATATATGCATAATCACCGCTCACTACGCCCCAATCATTTATATTGGATATTTAAAATATGAAATTAAACGCAACATGAACATGCTTTACCAATAGTGTTAAGAAAGTATTGTTCTGCCTATCTAACATATTAAGAATTAATTTTATGTGTTATTATGCGCATCATGTTTCATCGTTGTTTTTTCCCAACTCTTCATTGCCTCAACAGTTATTCAAGTAACATGCAAGACACAGTATAGCTGTAGGAGACAGTGCCCGTATCGCAGTTGTTCCGGTAGTTATACGCGCCTCAAGAGGGCGATAGACACGATTAAATATAGACCAAAGCCGTAGAATAGATGAAGCTGGATCACAGAAAAACATTAGTATGTATGTGCATCATATTTTTTGCTTTAAAACTGAAATACGATTCGAATAACTGAAACACGTGGAAGAATAAAAAGCTATTACCCGCCAAGTTCAATCTCTCTGATGTGCATTAATTCGCATCCAACGAAAGTGATCTTAAAGCGCGACAGTCATCGCGCTGTGCATGTGCGACATTTGTGTTGATATAAACGTTGATTTTCCCACAATCCAATGCATTCTTATGGAAAGTATGAGGTTTTACCTGGTTGCGACTTGCACTAATTACCACCGGTAACTCTTTCGATACCTTCCAACCACCTAAAAAATACCCAATTAAAGCTTCGTAACGTCTCAGTTTGTACTCGTTGATCTGTGCAACAGTCAACATTTTTGTTTATATGAGTCCCATATATCACGCGCATGCGCGGAGCGACGACTACCGCTCTTTAATGTATCAACATCGCCTCATACGTATTTCACACTACAGTTAATGATAACCCGCTGTTCATAAGTGTGTTGCATGCATCGTGTCTAATATAATATGAACACCTACCCCTCCATATATATTTACCCCAAAATGTGAACATTTACTTTATTTAATGCGCCACATACAGTCATGTGGTCGCGTCGTGTTTAGTCATTTGCGACGTACAACTCGAGGTGGTAAATACATTGCTTTCGCGCAATTCGAAAAGAACGCGGACCGACGAATGAGTTGCTTCAAAACACGTTAAGATTGATAGGGTAGCGAAGTCATTGATGAATTGATGGTTTAGTAATGGTATTTGCCAGTGAAAGTAAAAACGGCAACGAAAGGCGAATAGCTACGCAACAAAAATGAAAAGCACTGAGTTCCACAATCATGTTTATATTATGTCGAAGGCCACTCTGATTAAAATCTGATGTATTGTACGGCGTGAATCTATTTTATATTTTTTACCTTGTGTTATTACTTATTATTACGCACATATATAACGAGATTATAACGAGAGTTCCCCTCTGACTGGTTCAGTCAAACAATCATATACCACTTTCCATAGCGCGCCTGGTAACGTCACCGGTCAGAAAAAGATCCCAAACACACTCAAATAAAATGGC